TTGTTTTCAAAACATCCACTAAGATATACACCTAATTGAGCGTGACTACCAGACGCGAGTATAAATACGGAAGTCTTCGAATACGGAAGGTAAAAAAACAACACGAAAACCTAATTTTGTTGATATCTCATGAAAGTGGCATATATGAACCGAAAATATATTTTATTTATAAATAGATTTTATGCGTATTGATTCTACATTTCTTACATGCGCAATTAAAAATATATTTGCATTAATAGCAAAATACGGTATAAAGATCCGGTATATATAAAATACGAAGACGTGATATGACGTTTTTATTGTAACAATCCTAATCTACGTTGCGCACTCTACTTTTCTGGAGATAAAAATCTTGTTCCCTAGTGTTATTATTATAATATCCTATTAGTAATGAAACATTACTTAGCAGTCTTATCCAAATAAGCATAAGAATTTGTTTGGTTTAGATACAATTGTCTAAAAAATAAACTGTGAGTCGCGCAGCTATATCGTGTATTAGAATGTTAATATCTCGCGATGCAATTCGTGGTAACAGGGAATTTTGTTAGAATCATAGACAGTATTGAAGAAAATATTACACGTTAAAAGCAAGCTTTCGTGTCGCCTTTGCCTGTTCCCCTCGATTCGTGCATATAAAGGACTCACCTTTCAGCACGGACAGAGGTTTAAGTACGACATTCCGTTGGGCCCACATAGGCAGTGGGTTTAATTCATCCGAAAGGAACGGAAGAGACGCCGCTAATTCTTCATCGATGAAATTCTGAGGAATGTTGCTGGCTGGAGTTGTGGGATTGGTTTCCGAACCTAAGTTCTGACCATTTGTCGTGAATATCGTCGATGAAGCAGATTCCCAGGACGTTATTGAATTAGTAGAGTCTAAATCGCTCAAGTCAATACTGCCTAAAGAACGTTCGTTATCCGAGTTAAGAGAAATATCTGTGCCAGAACCCAAGGTGATGGTTGCCGTGGAAGACGATGCCGTGAGTCGTTGTGCAGTCGGTTTTGAGTGCGACGTAACAATATTGCTGTTCATCATCATATTGCTGTCATCGGTTGTCGATTTACGAGTAGTTTGTCGGCTGAGAGTTGGACTCCTGGGAACGTAGATAAATGTGGTTGCCCATCGTTTTCTGGAGGGTAGCTTTTCGGATTCTTCACTGGCACCAAGCTCGTTTTCGTGAGTATTTTTATCACGTTTTACGGGTACATTTACTGGTATATTTCTTAGCGGATTGGTGGTAGCGTTATTCCTCGATAAATCACAATTTTTTGCCAAGCTGTCTCTGGTTTTGATCCGGGAAAATGGTCGATCGTACCTCGCCGAAGAACACATATGCCCCGTCGGGGAATGCGATGTCCATTTCGGATGATTAGATGTATGACGGCGCCATCTTGGAGGTGGAAATGCAGATCGATGCGACTTCCGTGTAGCTGACATTTCTTCACGTTGTTTTGAACTGGGGAGACCCGTGTTTTTCAAAAAGTGTCGACGTATGACACAGATTCACTTCGCCAAGAAAAAATGCTGCAACAGAAAAAGTGAACTATGCTTTTGTACTCAGAAGTTGCATTTGACGGCATCTACCTAAGATAACTTGTTTTGTTGATTTTCGTTTCCGATAAACTTATATTACGTTTCTGATATGCAACGATGAACGATAGTCTGAAGGTTATTTCAAGTTTCAAAGCAACTAATATCGAGCAGCTTTGTAAGCGATTGGCAATTTTCACTAAAATCATTGATTAATCAAAAGAATAATAGATTCTGTAAAATGCAAATTTAATATAAACTTTAATGACCATTTGCCGAGCTGAATCGACAGCAAACATTATTCTTAGAGTAAAAATAAGATATGACTAAAGACACATTCACAAACATTCTTTTTAATAAAATGATAATAACATATAAGAAGTGTAATAAATTCGGAACATTAACCAGTTCTATATTCATATCAATAACAAAATGTGTAATTTTGAGTATTTCTACCACTAACAATTTCCCAACTTGTTTGATTTTTATTCGACGAAGGTTGAAACATTTAGTAATTGTTTAAAATATAAATTGCAAAGCCATTTGTAGGTAGGGTAACGACAGTATGTATCGACACGTACATAATAGAATGGCTCATCCCGTCTACATTCATACGTGGTAATTTGCCTACTCATGATTACAACGGTTTTTTCACGAATGAAACAAAAGGGAAATGATTTGTGGGTATAAAACAGAGGCACATCTCAAACAGAACGTTCTCCAAAGGAAATAATCTGATGTGCAAGGTGGGTGGCCTAACCACAGGAGGTATTCCATTTGTAGATTGTATTACTAGTTTGTTCAGTTGCGCTCACAAAATTTAGATATTCTTACAAAAATCATCAGAGGGACACTCTCTGATGCACCATCATTTTATACTCTCCTTTTAACTATTAATACTCTCGGTAATCATTATTAGGGAAATAACAGGGTTGAAGTTTTGGGAGATGATACAACGGTCATGTTCCGCAGCCAGAATCTCAACACGCGTGGCATCAGGTCAGCTTGCGCGTTTAGGAATGATGACAATTATTATTATTGTTATTATTATTACTTTCGCTACTTCACAACTAAAGATGTCACGAGTCTGTTGAATATAAAATTTAGTGCAGGTTACAACCAGCTTCCTAAGTAGCAGGTCTAGGAACCGTTCGTTGTTTCCTTTTCAATACTTTGCGCAAAATGGACTGTTCTCAGTAAAGCAATGTCTTGCACTTTCCAGTCTTTTGAATGACCTGGGAATTCAGCCAAGTTCTTACACAAATTTTGCGGAATAAATCCCTGAGCTCCAATAACTATTAGGACGACCTATACTTTTACGCCTTACATTCGGTTGATCTAGATTTCCAAACTCTTGTATTTAAGACGTTTCTCTACCTTCTTGGTTACGACGTTTTGATCACATGGCACAGCAACATCTACAAGAAGACACTATTTTTCTCCAAATCTCGGATATCAATATCTGGTTGGTTTGCCGCTGTTGTGCCATCAGTTTGAGTTTCTTGGTCGTACAGTATTCTATAGGATCCAATACATGTCACAGGCTTTGGTGAGTTTTCGTACCACTTGGACCATGTGTTTGAAACATCGAGGATGTTACAAATCTGCCAGTGGGGGTAACAACATACCTTATCGTATCTTTTCAAGTATTCGGTCTTTGCTAGAATTCGACAAGCTGACACGATATGGTCAACGGTTTCTACTTATTATTAGTAGTATTAGTGCACATTAAGGAGAAATAGGTTTTTCGACTAAAACGCTGTGAAGGTAGAGAACCTCTTCGCCGAAACATGTCACGAATCCGATTTGTCCACTTGTCCACTACGTTATTCACAAGGACCATGGATCGATGTGGAGTTGAACACGGATAATCCGGGGCGGAAATCTAGCGTGTTGACTATTACGCTAGGATATCTCGTCTTCAGCTTATTTCTACGACCTTCTCATATTTAATGCTTATTTCGTGAACTTTCTCTTAACACTACCAGATCATTACGTTGACTACGTACGCAACTCGGACAGCAATAAACTGAATGCAGAGTATGTCATCTATTCTTCAGACAGCTCAGGCAGATGTAGGCATAGTTTTCATTCTGCGTGTTGGCGACCGCCCGAAAGGTCGTGGTGGAAGTCTTATCCTGTCGCGTCCATCGTCCACCCTCTCGCTGCCTGCAAATGAGAGTAGGGAGAACTATAGCAGAGCGCATAGAATGGCGAGAAACAGTAATATTTTTAGCATTTAAAAATTTCTCAACTTTTAAAGATTTGGGCTCATTCTTCATTCACCATTAAATATTATGGGTATCGTGAGAAATTTTAATTTTATTTAAAGATATAATGACGCAAAGTTCTAATGAATATTAGAAATAATTGAAATTGTTTTGAGCATGGATGAAGTAATAATATTACTAACCAGAAGTCCATATCTTTGAATTATTTCTGTTATGGTGTCTGGTCTTTGTTTGGTATCTCAAATTTTTTTAAGACAAAGTCGTGAATTTTAGTGTAATCACCTGCTTAATGTTAAAGATGTGAGTGCGAGAGTGAAATTTTCCGAACTCCTCCAAAACACAATATATATTCAGGTTTTCAATATATATATTTCTAATTTAGTGTATAACACTGAAGTTCACACTTTTTGTAAACCTACACGTTATTTCTGAAGTTATGAAACTTTTAAATAATGTATTTCCTGTTGCATAATTTTATAGTTTACAATTTCCGTAACAAAACATTCAAATGTGTACATTATTCAAAGCGCTAATGGATTTAAACAATTTTACAAACTTAATTGATTTCATTTTTTGGATTAAAAATAATCATTTATGTAAAAAGACAAAGGGAAATGCATTAATTCGTATGTCTTGTATAGTGTGTTTATCCGCCATCGTTCAGAATAACACATGATATCATGCGTGATAAAATTAAATCATTCCTAAACGAATGTTGACAATTTACTTAGCTCATTTTCCGGTGCAATTTCTGAATCTCTATTTTGTATTCATTTTGTCTTCATATCTGTTTGTCTAAAATATACTTTATTTGTTTATTTTTTTGTTATATAATAATGTTATATAACACAAAATGTGGCTTTTGACGCATTTTTCATTTCAAAGTCGTTACTCCTTGAAGAGAGAAAGACAATAAACTTTAGCTACCTAAGCGATGAATATTTGTTACAAAGTATAATCAGGATGTGTCGTGTCATGGACGTCATTAAACGCAGCATTGAACTTTGAGGTGTACTCTACTTTTCTTCATTTGCAGGTTTATACTTCTTTATATAATGTAATGACTCCTGTTAACTAGTTGTAGTACATTCATGAAAATAATATCAAGTAATCTTGTCTCACGCAACATTCACGCAGCCTTCGGTAGGCATTTGGGTTGAGGCCTCTAGGAAGGGCGCTAACAAATCATTTTCCTTAGACACCGATGGTGATTTCGACACACGCCATGGTCAAGTACGCATGCGCCATCGCTTGCGTGCTTGCCACTGGCCGTCGCCGCTATTGCCACCGCCCTCGCCGCAGCTGCCACCAACCCCCACCATGGCCGATGCCGCCGTTGCCATCGCATTCATTTGTCGGGGTATCGCGGACCGAGGCGCTTCGAAGCTGCTGTTGAACAACCTCCTGCCTTTGACCTTTTGCAGTTCTGTAAGTTTCTCGCTGTACATTGCACTAAAAACTACCAACAAAGAGTAAAATATGGTAGGAAAAACGGAATGTGTATTGTGCTACTTAAAAGTGTTTGCGACGAGGTTATGGCTATTACGTGTGTTTGAAGGTGTACAGTAAGAACACGACACTATCAACACGAACATGTTTTCTTCTTTTGTATGTACCTGTTGCTTAGTAAAATGTTTAATAAAATTTGACTATTCTTACATTTTGATATTTAGCAAAATTTTAGTGATTACTGTATGTATGAGAAATGTGGTGAAACTAGCTCGTGTTTTGCCATTTACAAACGTGTTTAAACTAATCAACTTTACACTGGAATGTGTTATGTAATGTTTTGATTCCTACACGACCTAATTCGAATGTGCAATTCAAAGACCCTATTGTGAGTGTGGCCATATTTCCCGTTTCAATTTTCAAATTTCTGTTCTAGTTTCATAGCAGATAACATAGCAGATACATTGAGAGTCCCGATTCTCAGCTTTCGTTCTGTGAGTTTACCGTGAACCTTGGTTTCAAATTTCATTATATTTTCAACTTTGATCATCAAAAGAGAATAATATCTTACATTTGTCGCAATTTAAATATGTGGGTACAGCCATAGATTTCTAGTGTCCAGTTTCAATTGTCATTATCAATACGCTGCTTTCCCTTGATATGCTCCTGTTTCATCGTATGAGTCATTGAACAGAATTTCCAGACTTTTACGTTTCGTTTTTGTACAATTCTTCCGCGAAGGGGTACGGGTTCTTTGAAATCTTTCATTAATAAACGGATTTTTAGGAAAAATTGAGTAGAAAAGTAGCAACTTGTACGTGTTAATCGCCTATATTTATTGTTGCAATATTTTCATGTGTTAGCTACGTTATTACATTTAAGAGTCAAGCAATTTGTCAATCGAATGTTTGTATAGGAACTATTTTTATTAGTTTTAAAAATTACGTGTTTTTTTTAGATCATGTACTTGTCAAGTTTTAATCTTAAATCAGGACCCATTATCACGATTTATTCTGAAACAATAGTAGAAGTTACTTTCTAAAAGTTGTAGGCAGTTATGATGAAACTAATTGATTTACTAAAACGTAATTGAATTCTTATTGTATTCTGCCTGCAAAAAATGGATGATTGACAAAACAAACTCAAAATTCGTTTTCTTACCCGACAAAAATTTACTTTTGCGATGGTATTATAAAAAATACAATAAATCGATTAATACACGTGTGTATGTGTACGTATTCATGAGGTAAATATGAATACGTATTGTGTACGTATTCAATATTTCCTGATGAGTCTCTATTCGGAATCAACTAATAGATTATTTACCAGTTTGTTGTAATAGGTACTGTATTCTTCTACACTGCTAAAAAAACTGTATCTTATTTCAGGCCGTCCAATGTATATGGAACACATTTGGCAGCCTGTAATAACGTATCTAGTTCCGCAACTGAAGCTTCGTCGATGGGAAACTTCGAAACTAGATTGTTTGTGAAAGTTAAAAACCAGCTAAATGAAAATTCTAGTTAGAATTAGAAGGAAGTTTCTTAGTAGGCGATTTGGACAGCCGATATCGTTAACGTGGGAGCTAACGGTCATGACTTCGAATCGCAACTCAAGCATGAATGTTCACTTGTATATTATGGCATGGTTGGACTCGTCCAACAATGTATCATATTTCAATCCTCTTACTGCCATTCCTACTTTCGGCGAATCCCACGTAAGTCATATGCGTGAATGTGCTGGGGCATGATATAGCTCTCACAGGCATCCTCTTTCACTTTCTTCCCCGATCCCTTGAATTCCAGATAGAGATTCCTTCACCAGTATCGTTTATATGCAGCCGAGATGAGCTACATTCAGAGTTCCTCCGCAACACAATAATCTCTGGGAACTGGCCGATATGGATCTAGGGGTCACTTCTGGCTCTCGAATAGGGGGCGGATGCCATTCGAGCATTAATGAGAAGTGCATCGAGGCGGAAAGTTTCGGGAACCCGCGAAGAACTGAAGGTTTTTAAGGTAACCCTGGACGTCTGGGTTGGCTAAAGCTGAATGGTTAAAAGCGACCTAATAAAAACAATACATTACTTAATAGATTTAGCAGTATTTTTGATAATATTTTGCATTTCATTTTTTTAAGGATATTTGGATTGAGAGTCTTCCCACAGAAACACGTTTAGTCTACTTCTAAATTGAAAATCAATGTGATCGTATATTCAAATATTCACTATTATCTATATTACTAATTTCCAATGGGCACAGAAATTGAAAGAAAACAATGCGGTCTCCAGTCATGTAAGAAGTGTATATGGCTTTCTTAGATACACAGGAACTCGGGAAAATACACTAATTTACCTAGTACTAATTTCCAATGCGCGTAGGAAGTACGAGGAAACTATGAAGCCCCCAGCCATATGAGAGGTGTGTATTATTTCTATACATACCCAGGGATACGGAGAAATTCAAAAACAATGAATCGGTTTCAATTTTGACTTAAAAATGCAAGTACTATATGATTGTGTCATTACACCTGTTCTTATATTGTGCTTTGCGACTGAATTCTCATATTCATTGCCTACGACACAGCTGACGTTATGCGTCAGCTAGACTCCAAATAAGAGTCCGTTGCCATTAAATATTTGCTCTTCACTTGTTGCGTTACGGAACAACAAATGTTGTGATATTTTTTATGTAAATACCTACTGTGCTGTGTATCTGTATGTACTATATCATGTTAATGCAGTATTCTTAGTCTATTGTTAAATTTTGAGTTTATTGCACTGTTATAAGAGAGAATTTTATTTGTTCTTGGGCAGTGTGCATACTGTATGAAAATCCATTTTGGGTGCTGCTCAACAGCATTTTTACTGCTGCGGGGTATTAGGCTGTTAATTTTGTTGTTTTCTACCGCGGATAGTCGCAATGTAATCGAATAAACTGTCTTCGTCGTTCTATTGTTGAGTGTGCAACAATTAAACAAAACAATCTCTTCATGTACCACGTGGGCTTGTTTTCTCCTATTGCTATCTGAAATTGAAAATAATAAATGTTTGAATTATGTCTTAAATCTCAAAAAGTATATAATTTAAAGATTCCGTTTCTGGAGATCTTCTCCTAGAACTCCAGAGCTTTCAATCTTCTCTGGAAATGCCCACTTTATAAACTTTTTTCATTTTGAGGAAGAATATTGAATGTTTTAATTGAAATCCATATGTTTTCAATGAAAATTTACAGAAAATAATAATAGCGTTTTAAAAGAATGTTACCTACACCATTGTTTGGAAAAGTACAATATTGTTTAATCGTAAATGAAAACTACTAAAATTTCAAGAATGATGATTGGAAATTATTAGCATAGTTTTTGGATGAATTTACTAAATAAAGAATTCTAGGTTAAATACTCGTATGACGCATATGAGAGGTTTTAAACCATTAAACATTTATTATGATTAAAAAATTCAATGTTTGGCTGTAAATGTGAAATTTGTAATGTTATGAGAATTTTTTTCGGCAAACAAGAAAAATAATTAGAATATTTGAACACGTAGTTGAAACTTAGCATTGTTCAAGAGACAGGCCTATCGGTATCTAGATCAGCGGACCGGCAGGAAGGCATACATTTTACAGCGTGGGGATGGCTACTACTATATTCACACAAGTGTTCGAAGAATATAGTCGTAGTGTCCTATCAAGAAGTGAATGGTTATAGCTCATTTAAAGTTCCCACGATTGTGTTTCATTAGTGATGGAATAATCCATTTATGGCATGGCATGAAATTGCTGAGAGACTGTACTATTGCTGTTGCTCTGCGGCCAGATTAATCTCATCGCCGATGTCATTAGGACCTCTCGAAATGACCTTATCGTTGACATACGATATTTTTTTTGATTATACGAGGGTTGGGGTGTAAATCTTGGAGAGATTTTTTGTGAGAATACGAGTACGGATGGAAAATTTGAAATATACACATGAAATGACAAGTTATGAACTAAGTACATGGATATTTAAAAATACACCAAAATTGTGTTCCTCATATTTATTAAGGTATTTGAAATGGCAATTCTGGCTTCATGTTGCAAAGCATTTTAGTATATACGAGTTCACAACGTTCTAAAAAAATTACATACCCATTCTAAAGGCCATGCTGATTACCGCACGAGCTTCCAACAATTCCCTGTGACATTCTCGCGCATTTATCCCGAGGAGAACGAACGATCTGGGTGTAAAAGTGGTGCTTGAAACGGGTTATATTCATCTGGCACTGCAGCAGACAACTGATTTCATATTGGTTTCTATGCTAATAGACACTCCCAGATCCATCTGTTTTTGTGAATACACATTAGTTCAACATTTCTTTCTCACGACAAATAAAATAGTGTGATCCGATTACATTTATTTTAGAAAAGAAAAGTCGCTCTGCCCCAACTCTCTTAAATTTTGAGAGTAATAAGCATGAATACTGTATACCCAAATTTGGGTGGATGGCAGTTTGGACATTTGGTTACACGGTTGGGTGGATGACAGATAGGTTACACGAAAAAATACCGAAGAAACATTTGCCTGTCTCTTTTTTCAGCACAAATTTGACAAGGAGTATCTGGGGTTTTGAACCTCACTAAAATATATATTAAATAGGTGCACTGACCGCTTTGCTATCTGTCGCTCAAAGTAACTTACGGTTCAAGCCCACATATATTCACTGTCACAAATATGTTTCAGGTAATGAAAAGAAATATTTATCTAGGTATAAGTGGATATCATTGCGTGCTCAATTTTAAAGTATATAAGTAAATTAATTTGTAAGGATTACTCATTTGAAGTAAAAGAGACAAGTCAACAGACATTAAAGAATTACATTCAGATCGACTGAATATAACGAAAACCTTGTGCAACTCTTTAATAATAGATTAGTTATGAGATGAAAATGATTCATAAGTGTTTGAATTAGCAAATGAATATTAATTGAGAATTTTCAATTT